CAAATCGATGATCAACGGGAGGGCCTTTACCTTTCAGGGGGCTGGAGCGATAGCACAGTGGTAGAGCGTTTGCCTTGCATGCAGCCAACGTGGCCAACCCGAGTTCGATTCCTCCGCCCCTCTCAGAGAGCCCGGCAAGCTACCAAGAGTATCTCGCCCGCACGGCAGAGCCTGGCAAGCTTCCCGTGATGTATTCGCTCTGCCAAACACAGTAACAACAAAGTCTCCAATGGAAACGTTACTGGGCCCACTCGAGACAATTGATGATCAACGGGAGGGCCTTTACCTTTACCTTAATATTATGTATATGGGGCTGGAGCGATAGCACAGCTCTAGGGCATTTGCCTTGCAAGCTGCCGGCCTGGCCCAGCCAGGTTCGAATACTCTGCCCCTCTCGGAGAGCCCAGCAAGCTACTAAGAGTATCTGGCCCTCACGGCAAAGCCTGGTAAGCTACCTGTGACGTTTTTGATATGCCAAACACAGTAACAACAAGTCTCACAATAGAGACACTACTGGGCCCTCTCGAGCAAATCTGTGAACAATGGGAGGACAGTCCAGTGCTATATTATATATATAATAACGTATATTATTATATATAGCTTATATATCATAATATAGCTTGGCCTATATTATGACAAGCAATTTTCTTTTTTTTTCCTTTTTGGGTCACACCCAGCGAGGCACAAGAGTTACTCCTGGCTCTGCACTCAGGAGTTACTCCTGGCAGTGCTCAGGGGACCATATGGGATGCTGGGGATCGAACCCAGTTCGGCTGTGTGCAAGGCAAATGCCCTACCCTCTGTGCTATCTCTCCAGGCCCTAAGCAATTTTCTTAGTGCTGAAAATTCAGTGAGTTGGACAGTCGACAAAGGAGCAAGGATAACTACCTTCATGGAATTTCCATAGTAATTAAATTCTAATTGGGCCATTAGCAAAATATCTTAAAATTATACCTGATAAAACACTAACAATTTGATTAAAGTTATCCAATGTTTATTTTAAAAGAATACAGAGTTACTTGGGCTGGAGTGATAGCACAGCGGGTAGGGCGTTTGCCTTGCACGTGGCCCACGCGACCTACGACCTGAGTTTGATTCCTCCGCCCCTCTGGGAGAGCCCAGCAAGCTACCAAGAGTATCTCACCCACACGGCAAAGCCTGGCAAGCTACCTGTGTGATGTATTCGATATGCCAAACACAGTAACAACAAGTCTCACAATGTTACTGGGCCCACTCGAGCAAATCGATGAACAATGGGAGGACAGTGCTACAGTGCTACAGAGATACTTAGATTATGCAGGTAGACATATTTCAGTAATAAAATTCAGTTTGAGTGGTCATTAAGATCATCAAGGCCATTTCCATCTCTGTAACTCTTATTTCCATCCTCTTCCCTAAGTTTCTATTATTTCTTTTTCACCTAATTTCTGCCTGCCTGTGGGCTTTTGGTGAAGAGCGGTGAAAAAAGAGATTTTTTAAGTGGGAAAATGGATCCTTTATTTCTCTCTAAAAACACCTAAACTTTCCCATAGTCAATACTATAACTAAGCTCAATGGTGAAGTCTTACCTTTCCTGACAGCCCAGTTGGGACACAACCACTTCTGTAATCAATTCTGTCTTCTCTTACTATTGAATCTCGTACAAACTTTAATCCCCTTTCAATAGATTATCATCTCTATTTTGTGTGTACAACTGGACATTTTTACTGTTTGCGTTTTATCTGTATTGAGTGATCACACTCGTTAAACGTTTCATAGTATGAAACAAAATAATATAGGAAATAAAAAGACATGCTGGATGTAATAAAGGGAGACATGCACAATATGTTTGAATTGAATTCAAATTAGATTCTGAATTGAATTCAAATCGAATTCTGAATTAGAATACAGAACTGCGAATAAAGCAAGTGGGGCTATGAGATAATTTTATGGACTGAGTGTGTTGTTTGCATGCAGGGAGCCTGAGCTCCATACCTGGAACCATATAGTAAACTGAGCACTTTTGGGAGTGAACTCCAAGCACAAAGCTTAGGTAGGCACCAAGAACGACAGAGTGGTGTGTGTGTGTGTGTGTGTGTGTGTGTGTGTGTGTGTGTGTGTGATTGTGTATACACAAAAGAAAGGAAAAGAAGCTGGGGAATGCAGAGAAAGTGTTGATACATGCTGACTGAACCCTGGAGGTCTCTCTTGTATAATTAAGATTGGTATCTCACAAATAAAGTGTAAAAAGCAGTTCTAACTGGAACCTGTGTAAGTTATTCTTTTCATTTAAAGAAAGGTTCCTTGAAATAGACATGACCTTCTATGGAATTTAAATGAATGTTAGCAGTGCTTGGGAGATGCCATTTGTTTGAATATTTGCTTAGTTGTAAATTGTTATGACTTTTACTACAGGCATATTTAGAAAAATCCCTCTATATCCCTACAAACTTCTCTGTTCACATTCTACAAGTACTTTAAATCTCATTTCAAAGTACATTTCTTTCTTAAAACCATCTTTAATCAATTCAGTTTCTCCTCTTGTCATATTTATTGGAAAACTGGGTAAGACAGAATGAAAAGTCTGACGAACATAGAGAATGTAAAAGACAGGAATATGACAATGCCTACAGCATCTCTAGAATGCTAGTCCACTTTATTCTGGTGCCTTATCATATATATATTATGCATATGTTTATACAAATATGTTTACACATATATTTGAATATTCGCCAAGTTTTTTTAAAAAGAGAATTTTCTGCCATGGAATATTTAAACTCAAATACCTTAAAATAAAAGTAGAATCTAATATTCTAATAGTCATAATATTTATTTTCATACTTGACATGCTGTCAACAACTGTTTTTTGTTTTAGTTTTAAAAATATATAATTAGTTTTTCTTTTCAAATTGGATAATTTTTTTCTCTTTAATACTGAGAATTGCATATTGAAGAATAATGTCACTCCAGAGCAACTGAATATGTATGTTTTCCTTTAACTGACTCCAAAAAATTCTTATTAAGCACTATTTCACAGAAAATAACAAATTATATGTTATGGCTTGATTGCTTAAAATAGGTATTTCTGAGCAGAAGAGAAAACATTAGAATGAGAATACTTTGAAAATATATCAATTACTTTAGAGCCATAAAGAGAATTCTTGAAAATAAAAGCAGATGTGAACGTGATTCAAATTTAATATATTTGAAATGTAAAGTAAAAATATAATACACCTGGAGAGAGTTATGCAAATTGCATGGTTAAATTTTTCCCTTAGGGATAACTTCAGTGTGTTCTAGAAATCCATTTTTAAAAAGAGAAGGAAAAAAGTGGAGATAATCTTTTGATATTTCCTTAAACCTACACACAGCTTTTTCTTATTTTAATGAATTAATAAAAGCAAATATTTTAAAATAGAATTAACATAATTAGCTCTTTATGATTATGAACTGCCTCTGCTTAATTTTTGGTAATCAAACATTTTTATTACTTCAGTCATTCTTCAGTGTTCTCAAAGGAATCACCTTATGATAATGGTTCTCATTCTTAGACATTTTCTCTTTGTAATGTTCACTTCTAGTTTCTAGTTCTTATTTTTAAACATCGCAGTTTAGAATAACAGACACAACATGAAATCAGAGTCAAAAGGCTGTGGTTCAGTTCCTAAAATTGATTTAGCAAGAGTCCTTGGTTACAATACGATGCTGTAAATCTTCATTTGTGCAGCAGAGGGAAAATACTTGTTTCATTGGGCTGTTTTGAAGATCAAATGAGATTACACGTATGAAAAAAACACAAAGTACTATTTACATACCATTATCATATTATGGAAATAATCTTATACAAATAATCCAGTACGATTGACTTTTTTTGTTGTTTCTTAGATACTTAGGATAAATACACACATAATTAATGTGTGGATCATAACGCCATTTCTTTCTTGGCTTAACAATAACTTTATTGACCTAAAAAATTCACCAGCGATTTAAGTGGGAAACGTTACAATAAAACTTTAAAGTCTTAAGACATTTTTTTGGGGGGGGGAGGGAATAGTTTCGCTAACAAGGTTAACAATGCAACTCTTCACACGTCTCAACCTGGTAATTGCTAAGTGATTTAAAAAAATAAATAAGCAAAGGTTAGCCTCGCAGTTGTTTACAAGCATTCTGATCTAGGTTAAAGAGAGGATGACTGTAGGCTATTTAAGAAGCATTAGGTCTAAGGCTCGGCGCGGTATCGATCCACAGCCACGCTCTTTAGTCTTGCATTGTTGCATCTGATGGAGGTGGCGCAACGATGGGTCAAGTTGCACGTTCAGTATTAGTTCCTCAGTGGCAGGAGAGACTCGCTTTCTTCTTTTTCTCATTCTCCCACCCATTTCTACAGGCACTGGGAATCCACCCCACCAAGAAGAAAAGGGTTAAAGCCGTCCGCCAGAGGGGAGTAGCGGGGAGCGAGTGTGTGTGTGTGTGTGTGTGTGTGTGTGTGTGTGTGTGTGAGTGTGTGGAGCGCACAGGACAGAGGCATCGAGTTGCCAAGCCGACTCGGAACAAGTTCCCCAAGCCACGGCGCCGGCGATCGCGGCCCTGGCGGGGCGGGGAGGGGGCGGGGGAGGCGGGTGTCGGCCTCCGGGGGTCTCGCCGGGGCTTCAGGGCGTGGCTGGCGTGGGGGGGCGCGCGCACGAGAGGCCGAGTGTGAGCGCGGCGAGTGTGCGGCCGCGTCGCCATTCCCCGTGACGTCAGAGTGTATTGTTGTGCGCGAGGCCGAGCGGAGCATCCCCGGAGCTGTCACCGCGGCGGCCGCGGCGGCGGCGGCGCAGCGCGAGCCCCGCACGAGCGAGCCCGGCCGGCGCCGCCCCCGCCCCCGCCCCCGCCGCCGCCGCCGCCGCCGCCCCCGCCCCCGGCCCGCCGCGCGCCGCCGCCGCCGCCGCCGCCGCCCGCGCGCCCCCACCCCGCCCACCCCACCCCCGCGCTCCATCCCTCCCACCCGCCGCCGCCGCCGCCGCCGCCGCCCGCGCGCCTCCCCCCGCGGAGCGAGTGCGGGTCACCGGGTCACTGGGTCATTGTCTCGGCGCCCGAACCCCGAGCACCCCGTGGAATCCCCCACGTCATCAGCAGAACCATCAATGAGATGCAAACATGAAAGACAAGAGGAAGAAGAAGGACCGCACCTGGGCCGAGGCTGCCCGCCTGGTACGTACCGCCCCCCGCCCGCCGCCCGCCGCCCGCCGCGGCCACTTCCAGCCCGAGCCGCCGCCGGCCCGCCGGGCTCCCGCTCTTTGTTATTCTGCGGGAGTGGGCTAGCCCCGGGGCCCCCCGAGTGTGTGCGTGCGCGCGCCGAGGGGCGCAGCGAGCGTCTCGGGGAGCCCCCCGCCCGCCGCGCCCGGGACCGCCCGGGACACTTCTCCCGGCTACTTCGCGCTCGGGGCTCGGCGGTCGCCTTCGCCACCGGTGAATTGCCGAGCGCTCGGCCCCCGCTCCACTTCCCTCTCTGCCGCTCCGGGGACCTTTGTGTGGCAATTACCACTCCCTCCCGGCCCCTCCACCCCCCGGAATTCCATCAATAACTCTCGGTGCACGGTCTGTGTGTCTGTTTTCGGCGTTTGTGAGTTCCTGCATTTGTACACGTGCATGCACGGCGTGTGTCCGACACGGACTGGTGGTGGTGGTGGTGGTGGGTGGGTGGGTGGGGGGATTGGGGGTGTGCATGTGGGCTCGGTCGTTGCGTGTCCGTGTGTGCCGTGTCGTGTGCATTCGGTGTGCACAGCGAGACGTGCATGTTTTGTGTGGCTCAAGTTCGTTGGTGTTTTGTAGGTATTGTGCTCCGCTCGATGTTTGTGTGTACATTCTGTGCACGTGTGTGCAATCTGTGAGCGTGGTGTGTGTGTGTGTGTGTGTGTGTGTGTGTGTGTGTGTTTGGTGAAGTTGGGTCAGTGTCATTTGTAGTGGGAGGTTATTAAGAGTGTACAGCTAGGTGTGTTTTACTGCTGGCTTCCTGGGCGGTGTTAGTTGGCAGTTTTTCCTTTTCTTTAACCTTTCCGCGGAGCTTACGTTTTAATCATCGAAAGAATGTCTCTATAGAAATGCTGGTTGGCAGAGGGGAGTCGGCGTCGGCGCCTTTGGTTTGATGCATGTGTATGTGTGGGTTTCCCTTTTTCTTTATTCTTCGTCTATTTTTTTTTAAGGGACAGCTGTAAAGGGATTTTTTTTTTAAAAAAGAGGTTATTTCTATACAGTGTGTCTCATGGGAGTGCACGGCATTATGACATTGGAAGCTTAGCCTTTCAGTGTTTCGCTACATAAATTAAATATTTATTTACCAACTTACTGTCTGTTGTAAATTGGTTAAAAGAAAGGCGACTGCATGCAGCACCGCGGGGCGAGGGTGGGGATAAGACCCGGGACTTGTTATTGGGTTGACTTTGTAAAGATTGTTTTACTATAACTGTGGTCTTTTTTTTTTTTCTTAAGCGTTTGAGTTAACTACATCATGCTCAAGGAGAACATTTGTCAAAAGTAATTATTTGAGTTTGGCTGAAGGGCCTTTCTGGTATGTCTGTAGATTCTAGAAAGGGATTTTAGATAATTGGCCCTATTGCCCTGCAAAGAAGTGACAAAAGTCCTTTTTAATTGCGATCTAGTTATTGGTAGCAGAAGTGGCTAGGCCCCTTTCCTTTGCCTTGTAATTTGTAGTCCTGTATGTTAAGATTTCTCCCCTTATCTGTGATTGTGTTAATCACTAAATCACTGCTCTCTGTGGATGAATGGGCAGGTGATCGTCATTTTCTAATGAACTGCTTCTGGGAGAGGAAACTTATTTGTGGGGAATATGTGAAAAGTAAGCAGTAAGTGTTAAGTAGATGCGAGATTGATGCTATCACTGAATTTTTGCTAGAGCACAGTACATTACTTATTGTTTGCTCAGCCATTAATTCAGAATGGTGTGGGGGTGTGCAAAGCTTCTGGAAATGCATTATTCAGCTTTCTTGGAGTGGCAATCAAGTATTATTATAGAGCCTTAGTGTATGTATTTTAAACAAGTGAACAGGGTGTTCATTTATAAATATTTTAAAATAATGATTTGTGAATTAGCCATATCTTGTGTCTGCAGAGAATTATTTAATACATAACATATTCAGATGGAATTTGAAGGTAGCCATTTGTACTCTATCAATATGTTACACTTCTTGAGATACTCTCCTTTATTTGATCAAATCCTGATGTCTATATTGATACATCTTGTAATAGATTTCTGAGTCACAGTTTTTGTTAGAAGTTGCATTTTCCTCTTGCAAAGTTCATTGATGGGAAAAGACACATTAGGAGTCATCAACACAAAAGAATTAATGATAGACCAGATGTCTCTATTTTAACCAGACATATTGGACTAGTAGTTATGGTAATTTTTCAATTTGGTTCAAGTTATTTTTCCCCTGGTAGTTGTACAAATGTCTATGTATTTAAAATGTGACAGTTGAAATAAAATACTGAATAAAATAGTAAGTGATTTTACTGGAAGTATCTTTTTCATAAATTTGCAATTGTGTAAAGTGATATCATTCTTTGTGAATAAAAAACAACTATTTGGTACGGTTTATGATGTTTTGATGGTATCAATGCTTATAGACATAAACTCTTGCAAACTTGCTTGAAAAGAATTTTACTCTCATCGATACTATTTATTTACACTTAATGAAAAAGAAATGCAGTTTAAAAGTATTTCTGTGATAAAATACTGTCACATTTTATACTGCCCTGCTGATGTGGCTGTGGTGGTTATTGAGAAGGACTTTTTGCTTTTCTCTGCCAAATTATAAACCAGGTGTCTGATTTTAAAAGTAAGACTAAAGTATAGACGTAAATCATGGAACTTAGTGATTCTTGCAACATATGAACTAAAATGAGATCAAAATTTACATAAAGATCAACCTCTCAATTTGTAGTGTGTTATAGATATGCAAAAATGATATATACATGTTGCATATACACATCTGTCTCCCACTGGAGTGATGGGTGGGGAGGAGGAGGGTTGAGCAGGGTGGGGGTGAGAAAAAGAAATTTTCTTTAAGAGAATATCCGTGGAAAGGAAACGTGAGAGAGATTTCTTGAACTGTGACCAAAAGCTTATATTTAACTGTATCTTTGCATTTGTTTTTTAAGAAAAAAAAATATGGAAGAGCAGTTCTTTCTAGAGGAAGAGCTTCCAGTCAAAAGCAGAATTTTGTTTTCTTCTTTCTTTGTAAGAAAAGTCTATAGTCTCCAAATCCATAAACTCTGCTAACTCCAGGGATTTTGTTTTAGGTAGAGATGCAGCTATCAGCTCTCTCAATTTTCTCATAGGAACATGTAATGTTTGTATGTGGTGGGTTTGCTTAGCCTACGAAAGAAGGAATGGTGGTATAATTTCCCTGTACTTTCAGGAATGCAGTGATTATTAACAGGCTGCCATTTTAAAACAGTAATACTACTCTTTTTTCCCCCTCCCCTTCTGCCCTGCATCAGTTGCAGAAATTTCAGCTTTCAGCCTCCTCCCCTCCCCCTCTGCCTTCTGCAGTTGTGGTTGTTACTTTGCGCATTGCCATTTAATATGGAGTCTGCTCCCAAACCAGATGCATTTTCATCTGTTTTATCTGCTCTTCTAAGATTGTAGAGTCTCAGAGGATCCCCCAATCACATGGAAGTATCTTCTGTCTTAATATTTGTAGACCACAATAAGAATAAAAATCAAAACCATAACTCATGTCGAGCTGGGGCTTTGACTTTAATCCTTTTGACTTTTATCTCAAGTCTTCACTCTGTTACTATAAATACAGTTTAAACCATTGTGAAAGGATCTTCATGCTTCTTTGTAAAAAAATGGGGATTTGACAGGACTTTGTTTTACTGCACTAAGGGGTTTCTTTGTTACTGGCTTAACACAGAACACACTGTTATTTATATATTTATTCTAGGTTAAATTTTTTTGACATGCAAAAATGTTGTTGCTTTGAGAAGTGTTTTTTGATAGCTTCATCACTTTGTTCTACAGGGAATGCTGCTGTTAAGATAATGACTCAATGTATTAATTTGTTCCTTGAGTTTCCTTCTATTTGTTTCATTTCTTACAATCTTTGTTTAGTCTCAGTGGCACCTGAAAATAAATCTTAATCTTTAATAGCTTTGTGTTTGGTAACATGGCTGATTTAGTTGCTTATAGTTTTTGATACATTCATACAGATAATGAATATCAGTCTGGGGTGGGTTCTTTTTTGGGTTTGGGGATTTGTTTTTCTTTCTTTCTCTTTTTTGTACTTCAAGGTGACCTTTGGCAAAAAAAAATTAATGACAAATTTGCCTCATTGTTGAGAGCAAACAACATGTATTCCTTTTTGTTCTAACAGGGTTACTGAAGGTTTTATAAATCTTATTGTATTAAAATACTGTAGGGGATTTATTAAAGCAGATCTGTGAATTTTATACAGATTCTCTTGCATAATGTTTTAAATAAACTGTCAGAGTTTCTTTGAAATAAAACTGAATGTTATCAGTAGTTGTTAAAATAGAAAACAGTTGATAATAGTTAAATGACTGCTTTGCTTGCCTTTTACTTTTTTATCTTGGTACAATTTTTCAGAAATGATGATCTTAGAGATAGAGGGAGAACACAGGTACTGCTTTTGGCATTTTTCTCACTGTGCTATTGATGCTTAGATTTTAGATTACGATTAGGCCTTAACAATGGAGAACATTTTGACTTGTGATTTGGTTAAGTCCCAGAGGTACACACGAGCATAATTGTGACAATGTTTATTGGCTCACAAGCCTGTCTAATATATTTGGCAAATGGAGTTTTATTTTCAATCACTCAACATATTTAATGGTTGATTCAGCTGTTTTCTGTGATCTACACATAGCATTATCTCTTTATGTTTTGATTTCATTGTCTTCTATCAGATAATGGAACTTGCATTTTTATTTTGCAGCTCAAAAGATAGAAAAGAGTTTGGCAATCTTAGCCTGCTAAGGAAAAAAAGTTTCAGTTGAAAAAAATATATTTGAAACAATAAAAATTGTAAAAGTAAAATTATAAAAATGCTTAGTGTTTAAGCAGTTTTAAAACTTTCTTCTAGTAAAAAATGGAATTTTAAGCATTGACTTTTTCTTGAGGGTAGTTTTGGTAGCAGCTGACGCCTTAATATGTCAGAAGTGGAACC